GGGCAAAGGAGGTGAGGGGGTGGGGGCAGAAAGTGGAAATGAAAGCAGACAACAGAACATTGTTAGAGATCAGGAAAGGATGTGAAAGGAGACAATTTTAGAGAAGAAAATTTTTCGGTCGCTACCCGGAATCAAACCCGGGACCTTTGAATGAGAGGCCAACACCTTAACCTCTAGGCCACGAGAGCCCCCATGTTACCTGTTAGCAGAACGGCAGGTGATATGATACTTGTATTAATGTACCCCTGGCTGCTATATAAACTGAAGTGGAAATAGTGAAAAACTGTCTTTTTTTTTTTTCTAATTCATAGATACAGATTTTGTTTTTGCTTGTGTTATTCATTCATTCATTCGTTCGTTCATTCATTCATTCATTCATTCATTCATTCATTCATTCATTCATTCATTTATCTATTCATTTATTTATTCATCTATTTCTTTATTTTTTATTTGGGGAGGGGGGATTGCTGTTCGATGAATTCTTTCAACTGACACTTAACTCAGCAATTCAAAAATACTTTTAAGAGACCCAGCAAACACTGCACTCCTTGAAACATCAACAAAAAACGTAGAAGAGTTATCAGAATATCGTGAATTCAGTGAATACAGAAGAAAACAAAACATACGATATAGAAATACAGTTACGAGTAGATGTATAGAAACGCCAACACTCCTTCAGCGCGAAATGGAACTGGAACTTAGCGCACATCAAAGGCCAAGATATTTACCCGAGAAGCATTCTGGAAGTGAAGGTAGAAAGCAAGAAAGAAAGGGGGAGATCTAACCGAAGCTGGGAACATGACATAGAATGAAACCTGGCTTGGAACCAAAACTACTCAAGCAAGTAGAATGTCAAAACACAAAGTGTGGGACATCGTGGTGTATCCAGGCGCTCGTCAAAATAAGGAAATCCAAGAAATTGAACAATTTTTTTTCGTCTGTTCGGGGAATTTTTATCGACTTTTTTTCAGGGGCTGGTGTCCAGCCAAAAAAACAACAACAAACAAACAACAACAACAAACAGATAAACAAACAGACAAGCAAACACTCCAACTGTGTGGATTTGACTGGGAAAAACGTTGAACAAAGGCAGAACAATAATAAAAATAAAATAATGTGCAGTATTCAATGACACTCAAGCTTTGGAAGTCACTAATTTGTGGAAGCCATTTTCTCACTAATTTTATCACAGACACCAAAAGATAGCCACCTCTTTCAATCGCAAATATCTCGACTTCTACTCAAGATGGATGGCTATTTTGTTTTTATCAAAAGCAAGACAAACGATGAAACTTTAAGATAATGCCAATAACTCCACAAGCACAACACTTGACGAGCGTCTGATTCCACCGTATCGTGACGCAAGTGTTTTACTGCAGGAAGGTCGACGAGGTAACATCCAACCTGGTCCAACAACAGGGAAAATAAAGAAGAAGAAAAGACACGTATCTTAAGTCACTCTTCCACCCCCACCCTCGTACCCCACTCCCATCTGATTTCTCTTTTTTACCCAATTTATGAGACGCAGAAGGGAGGATCAAGCAACTAAACCAAACGTTTTGTAACGATAAGCCAGATAAGATTATAAATGCAGTCAACATTGTCTAAGACGGCCGCCTGTTGTCGAGGAGAAAAGTGTCCGTATTAGACAGGTGGACGTCTCACACAATGACATTATGAAGTTGTTGTTTTTTTTTAACCATGAGAATAAATGGGAAGTGGCCGTTTGTATAGACAATATTGTTTTATACTTGTGGCCTTATGGCAAGTTCGATATTTTCACACTTTTACTCCTAGCCAGTAATCTAAATCATCAGCAAAGTTGCTAGAATTGGTCGTCACGCGATTTTCTCGGCATATTTACATTAAAATGTGGCCACATATCTTAACCACGCGCCACGCTTTTAGCGGAGTATGTATCAGGTTATTTCAGAGGCGGAACCACCGCATTTAACATCCGTCTTCGATAGATCTGAGCCAAAATGAAATGGTTTGAGAGCCTTCAAAACTCCACAAAATGACACGTGTTCAAATAAGAGCGCCTTGTCGGGGATTCGAACCAGGGTCTTCTGCTCCGTAATCCAGCATGATGCCAACTGAGCTAACAGAGCGCCCTGCTAGAGACGACCTTCATTCAAAACTCCGATGGACGAATAGGGTTGCGTTGTGACTTTTCAAGGATTTTTGTGGGTTGTTGGCGGGTGCTGTGGTGTGGTTTGCTCCTACTTTCGTATCAAACTTCTATCTTCCCGATCTCTCCTCCCTTTTCGTGCTTGTTACTCTCTTTTTACACTTCTAATCATCGGCACTTATATGACCTTGTTGTGTTGCAAATGCCGTCAAATTTAATTTCTTTAATTGGGCCATTAAACACCGCCCTTTCGCGTGCATGCTCATGATTACTTCAGTAAGTGATATACTTGATCATTGCCTACAAATTGCTCTTTTTGAGACAGCGACACCGCCTTGCCTCCACATTTCAGTGTAATCACATCGTCTCCACTCCCCCCCCCCCCCCACCCCCAGACCGTCTACTTACTGGACTCCTGGGCTGTGTTTCATAGTGTGGTGTTGGTGAAAATATGTGAACTTTTTATGTTTTTAATTGCGCAGTCTACGGCCACGGTACATCACCTATATTTTTTTTACTCGCAATAGGCTAACGTCAAAGAAAACGTGTCGGAATCTTATTTTCCTGATGAGTCCGTCAATACTAGGCTTATCGGATTCTCTTGGTCATCCAACTTTTAGACTCTCATGCAATGACTCAAAGTCACACTCAGAAAAGCTG